CTTATTATGAAAGGTAGTCTCCACTTATAACAGACAAATTTCAAGTTTATTTGTAGAATGAACACATTTCCTATGGAAACTGCCTTAGAATTTTCCAGGCTCTTCTATAAAACACTACAAGAATCATAGCATAACTGAAATATTATATTGTGTGTGCATGTGTGTGTATATAATAAAACTATAGTCAATAAAATGTTTTTAAGTTATACATATACTATCTATTCAGCAAAACATAAAAATATTAAATCAAAGCTTTTCATTGTTTTAATCTTAAATGCTGGTACTTGAGAGAAAGAGGTTAATAAGGATGGAACCCTGTAGAAGTTCTAAAAGATAAGTCTGAGAACTTATAAAGGCTTTTTTTATTATGCCTAATTACACTTCAAGTTGACATCAAGGCCAAGAAGCCAGGCAGTGTATTTCTCCCACATTACATGTGGCCACGGCAGGGTTCTGGATCTCATGAACAGTCCTGTCTTCTTTCGCTCAGATTATACAACGTCCTCAAAGTTACTCTCCTCCAGCCATCTCTCCCGTATGCTTAGATTCTTCCAACCCCAGCTGGGTGTCTCCCTTCTCAGCCCCGGGGCCTCGAAGCCTGGGAGGCTGGTGCTGTTGAGCTCCCTCCTCTCCCCTCCTCCTGCTGCAGCCTCAGCCTCAGGAGCCTCCCCAGCCCTGCTCTCCTCCCCTCCTCATCACAAGCCCTGCAAGTGGGCGGCAGCGCCCCTTGGGAGGGAGTGGAGAGTCTGATCCTCTCCTGAGCGAGGGCCATTCCCCACAAAGGAGAAGCGGGGAGGGAGGTGCAGCAGCCCAGCCTCCAAAACGCGCTCACACTCATGTCCTTTTCCTAAAGCCCCCCGCCCCTGCCCAAAGCTTTAACTCTCCTGGAAATCAGGGGGTGAGAACTGACAGGGCACAGAGGCAGAGGGAAGGCAACCAAGTGATCCACATTCCAGAGAACAGCAGTCTGCTTCTTCATCAAGAGATAGAGAAGGGCAGAGAACCAGGGAGCTCCATGCTGAAAGGGGCCTATTTACGCACGAACGTTTTCGAGTGGTGTTCACAAGACAAAGTGGCACCCTCACTGAGTGTAATGTTCCCCCCATATAACCACTGGTCTTCAGTACCCTTAGTATTCACTACACAGAACCAAATAATACAGAATACATGTGATAGTCAAAGCCCATCAACAATTCTCCTGGAATTCTAAATTTTTTTCTTATAAAACACCACGCACTAGTGCTTATGACACAACTTAGTCACTGTCTCTACAGAAAAACAGTTCAAGCACACAGCAGTGACAGGCAAGCCACTTTAGTGCATCCATTATTCAACAGCGGCTTCAACTGGTAGAGAGGCTCCTGAGCTTCTTAAAGATGCAGAAAGGGAGGATCTGATGACCAGGATGCCAGTCCTGGGCCCACCATTACTAGCGATACAACGGAGAACTTCACTACTATTCTGGGTCAATTTCTTCACCATAAAATGAGGAC